CCCTTCCCCTCCCTCTTTCTGCTGAGACAAGCTCACCCACCTTGTTACCAATGGAAGCCTGCTGGAGGCCGTGGCCCCAAGCTGCTGGAGATGAAAAAGCACTTGGAACACGCTCTCAGAGGTTTGATTTGATGTTTGAGTGGTCCTGCACGGAGCCAGGACAGGCACTCAATGATCCCTGTGGGTCCCTTCCAGTTCAGGATATACTATGATTTTGTGATTCCACAGACTTGCAGGATATCACGTGTTCTCAGGACTGCTGCCGGGTTACATGGACTTTCTGGCTGTGGTAATGAGCTACAAGGGGAATTTTGGCCCCAGGAGAGGCAGAGCTGCTGGCAGGAGTCACTGCCCAGCCAGGGGGGTGCTCAGTGCCTGACCCATCCCAGCTGAGCAAGGTCCTTTGCCAAGGCAGCCTGTGGGGCCTCTGGCCCAGGCCGCAGCTTTCTCAGTCTGCTGGAGGATGTTTGAGCCTTTTCTCTGTACCTCTGCTGGATCCAGGGCTCGAGATGGACGTGCAGAGCCCCTGTGGGTGCTGTGTTTGAATCCAGCAGGTGCCTGAGTGCCACACACTCATTCGTTCACTCCTCACTCTTCCTATAGTGGGATGGGGGGAGAGAATCAGAAAAAAAGAACAAAGTAGAACTCATGGTTCAATAAAACTATTTCCTAAGACAGAGAAAAAGAAAAGGATAATAATTACGACAAATATATGAATGTACAGAACAAGTGATGCACGCGAAATTGTCCACCACCCCCCACGTGATGCCCAGCACCCCCTCAAGCAGTAGAAGTGAGAGAGATGAACTCCCACCCCCTTCAGAACTCCTTCCACATGACGTCATATGGTATGGAAAATCCCTTTGGCCAGTTTCAGTCAGCTATTCTAATTCTGTTCCCTCCCAGCTTCTTGGGCCCTTTGCTGAGAATGGCCTTGGCTCTGCACAACACTGCTAAGCAGCAGCTAGAAACATTGATGGACCAGACACTGAAGAAAACGATCCTGTCCCATTGGAAACAAAGACAATATGCACCCCTTACTCCACAGCATTTGCTAAGGTAGCATTTCAGGCTGTGGCAAGAGGCGCAGGATTTGTTTCCAGCCATCCGGTGGTTGCTTCCACCACTGCGTACATGGCAAGCTTGTCGGTGAGCATCCACCTGCCAGGTCCCCCCATGTTTACATTTCAGCCATCGTCCTCTATACCAAAGGAGCTTCATCTGCCCTGGAGAAACAGTTCCTCCTGCCTGAAACTAAAACAAACATCTTCACCAGTTGACGTGCGGAATCAAACGCTGTAACCCAAGTAAGATTACAAAGCAGGGACGGTTTGTTCAGTGCTCTGCAGACACCTGGTGCAGGGGGAATAAATCAGCCTCACTTGTGCACCGTCTGAAAAAACTGTGCTACGGATACAAGCGAAACTGAAACATCATCAATAGTTCTCCTGGAATTCGGATAAACATTCATTACACTCCGAGAGTTCGTTAGCATGCAGACCCTCCCTTCTTGGCGTGCGTAGCGGGTCGTGGGATGAAGATCTGCTGTTTTCCTCGCAAAGGTTCTGACCGTTTTTGCCATGAACTCCTGGCCTCTGCTTTCTGTGTCTTCAGCTCTCCACCCCATGATGGCACTTCTCCATTCCTCATCCATCTTCTTGGAGCCTCACATTTTGCTCCCTTTACTCAGCCCAGGTCTTCTTGGCCTTTGGCTCCTGCTTGGGCCTGCAGCTCTCAGGTCATTGGCTGCTTTTGGGCTTCAGACAGTCCCAGGGTCACTGGCAGGAGACAGAAAGGACAGAGCGTGAGCTGCCTGCCTCAGGGGATGATGGCCTTGGGGCAGCATCCTGCAACCCTCAGCCAGAACCCTTGGCTGCAACACAGCCTTCCCCCAGGGCCAAACCTGTGTCCCCATCCCAACACTCCAGGAGCTGTGTTCAGCACTGCTGGGTGGCCACAAAGAGTGACTCTTTGGGGTTGGGGCATGGGCCCCTTTGTGGGGTCACATCCTAACTTGGAGCCTCCAGCCTCACCTGGGCCAAAGCTCTCCGTCTGTTGTCAGCTTCTTTCTGAAGCATCCTCCACCTGTACCTGCAGCACTCAAGTGTCTGATGAAAGCCGACGCTTTAGAAAATCTCACTGGAATTGGGAAGAGAGGAGATCCACAGTAAAACTTCAGATCTGTGACAAGGATGCAGATGGATATGAACAATAAAAACAGAGGTAGAGAAAAGAAGAGCACGGTTTGCAATGATGAACACTTGTCTGTAACTTCCACAGCCGTAACTCATCCCATATTAGACCCAGAACAACACAACTTTAAAGTAATGCTCTAACTGACCTGTACTGTATCGAGCCTCCAAGGTGCCTTTGCTTTTCTGATTCTGGAATATAAGTTTATTTTGTCTTTCTACTTAGTAGGCAAAGCTCACCGTAAGAAGAAAGCAATATTTTGCTATGGGTGAAGTATGTATGTAGCCAGATGTGTACAAATTCTTTCAATACGGGACAAAAAAACATATGTGAGACCATACTGTCTGATTTGGAACCACGCTGACTTTAATAAACATGACAAAAGGCCAGAAACTGATTTTTTACCATATTTGAGCATTTTCTTATTGCATAACTTCAACTGTGTGAGAAACTCCAGGCTGCCACACGAACCAGCAGGCACCTCCAACCCATCCAATGGCATTACCAAAGGAAAAGTAAAACTAACGTCATGATACGATAGATGTCATGCATGCACTGCTGAGATGAGCAGCAGAGGAGAGGGCAGCCTTGGGAATTGCAAGCAAGTTGATCTTTCCTTCAGAATGGAAAATGGAAACAGAATCACAGAATTGTAGGGGTTGGAAGGGACCTCCAGAGATCATCGAGTCCAACCCCCTGCCAAAGCATATCCCTACACCAGGTCACACATCCAGGCAGGTCTTGAACATCTCCAGAGAAGGAGACTCCACCACCTCCCTGGGCAGCTCTTCTGAAGCACACAGTTCTTCTCTTCTGAGAATCAGGTACCCAGAAATCTGGCAGTCTCCCCAACTCCCAGTGCTGCACATAATGTTACGATGCGGAATCCCCACCACAAAAATCGTAAAACCACAACGACCACAAACAAAAAAGTATTTCTAAATAATTCAACCTGAAATTCTTCACGTAGTAATAGCAACCCAAGGAGCCGAGGCTTTCCGGAAGAATGACCATTTTGCTAAGGACGTGCAGTTTGGGATGGGGACTCTGCACAACTCAAGGCAGAAGGGGCTCTCACGTCGCTCTGCTCCCAGGCAGGGTCCCCAGTTCAGTGCAGAGACTTACCACGATTTGCATTTCTCTTTTGCCACCTTGCCAGCACACCAACTTCAGGGCACAACTCATCCCGCTGTCAGTCCTTGTGAGAAAGGGTTAGCCATGGCAAATCCTCCTGCAGAAAACACAGCCATTCCCTTCAGTCACAAAGACACCACTCTGCCCTTGCTCCTGACCTCCCTGCCTCCACCTGCACTGCTTGGTTCTCCTGGGCCACTAGAATATATCCAGAAAACAGAGACAAAAAGGGACAGACAGAGGAGTGGCACTAATACTTCTTGACTGGTGGGAATCTCAACGGAAAGCTGTAAGGTTAAAGGAACATCTCTCTCAAGACAAAAGTCTTAGTATGGAAGCCTTTATGGTATTCTGACTAGAAGAAAAAAAATGACTATTACCTCATACTTTTTTTCTTTCCGTCTCTCTCATCATGCAGATCTGAGGATGACCAAAGCCTGTTGCCCTGAGCATTGCTGAACCCATCAAAACTGTGGCTCAGGGGTATTCCACCTGGACATAGGAGAACCTAAGCACCACGGGAAGAAGAAAGGGGAACTGTTGACATTCGTTACCTCCTGCAAACTGAGAGTCACTGGCTTCTTGTCCCATCCAAATCCTGTAAAGCAGGACAACAAAGATTTAGTGATGCTTAGGCTGGTGAGCCTCACCTCTGCGCCTGGGAAGATCATGGAGCAGATCCTCCTCGAAGCTGTGTTAAGACACATAGGAGATAAAGAGGTGATTGGAGACAGCCAGCATGGCTTCACCAAGGGCAGCATAGCCCCATAGTACCCTACAGCCCCCCAGTAACCCCTCAAAGCCCCCTGAAGCCCCAGAATACTCTACATGGACGTGGCTTCAGGCCACGGGGCCACGTCTGCCTGCGGCTCCAGTGCTGGTCAATAGGAAAAACTTCTCTGAAAGAGTGGTCAGGCACTGGGATGGGCTGCCCAGGGAGGAACCAGAGTCAGCGTTCCCAGAGGTGCTCAGGAAACATTCAGATGTGGCACTGAAGGACACAGCTTAGTGGGAAATAGTGGTGGTAGGCGGACGGTTGGACGGGATGATCTTGGAGGTCTTTTCCAACCTCGGTGACTGTACGATTCTGTGCGTTTTGGTGCTGAGGATTTTGCCTCTCTAAGCAAAAGCACAAGACTCCTTGCTGTCTGCTCTTTACTGCGAGGTGACGGATCTTCAGAGCACGCTGCACCAGGCTGCCCTTCTGCTGCCATCTGCAGCCCCTCAGACCTTGAGATCGCTCGCTCCGGTTCTGGCCAGGCCGGTCCAAAGTGAGTGCTCAATACTGGAGTACTCAGCGCTCAGCTGCCCAGGGCAGCTC